CCCTCTTTCGCCTACGATCGACAACGATCAAATGATATATTATTCAGTATATACATAAAAGGAAGAGGAAACACTCACTATCGATTTTTATTCCCTCTTGCCTGTAACTGAAATAAAAAATGCTGCCACTTTCAAAAAAGGAACTTACCCATAATAAGAAAACGGAGAACTCGTTATATAGGAATAGAAAACTGAGAAATGTAGCTCATTGAACTAAAATTCCGCTGGATAGATACAAAAGTTTAAATAGCAGCAATATAATAATATATTTTGGATAGAACGTGAAACTTTTGATAATAATGGTAGTAATAATTCAGTAATAAATATTGTGCATGAAATATTTTTCTTTTAAAGGATGTATTTCTCTTCTAATGGTGAAAATATTTCATTCAGAGTTTTTATATTATTGATTGTTTATTTCTATCAATATCATAGGGAAATAAATAATTTTAAAATGATAAAAACTTATATGTTGTGTTAATAATTTTTGACTTATCTATTTTTTATAATCCATCTAGTATATCGAAATACCCTCATATGCGGTCAGGTCGTAAATTTACAATCCCTTTTTTCAGGGGGAGAGCAGACAAGGAGCGGACAATCTCGCTCGGGATCTTAAGAAATTGTGGGGGTTGTTTAAACATCTAACTTCTCTACATTCAGTTTTATACAGAGGAAAATACAAATTGAATTCTTCGAATGAATGCAATTTTGTACAATGAAAATATATTACTTAACGATAAACTGTAAGATAAATAACATCTTTTTTTAAAGCCATAGGAGAAGAAAGACAGATATTTGTTACACGAATGAATTTGTAGTAAATATTGAGTTTTTCATTTCGAATGCTATGTTCCATGTATGCGAAGTAGCTGAGTATGTGAGATAATAGTCATAACCGAATGGCTTTCAACCTTTTCACGGCTAAGGACTGTTTCTCAATTACATTGTGGTCGCTGCTTTTTGGTTAATTTTCTAATGACATATAAAGAATAACTGTTTTTATTTGAGACTTATGAATAAAATAACGCAAACTAGACTGCAGAAAATTCTTAAGAATGAAGTTAAATAATACTGAAAAATACATTATTGATGCACTTTTGTGTTTTATATGTAGTAGTATTAACTACTACTATAATCCTTAAATGGAATCCTTAAATTATATATATCTATGTATAGGTATATATAAATGGAACCAAATATATTAGTTAAAGGTATAAAATATCTTTTTTATACAATGTTCATTACCATACGTATATTTACGTAATATCAATATAAATAGTTAGTTAGGTTTCGTACATATATAATTTATTTTTATATTTTGTATTTTTTGTATTAGATTCAGTATTGTATACGTATCTGAAGTTTAATTTGTTCTCTTTTTGGGGGTTACGACTTTAAGTGAGAAAGAATTGTTAGGGCCTTCATAGGGATTACATTATATACAATCAGTTAGGATCCGACTTTTCCTTTCTTTTAATCATTATATATATTGAAATACTACTTGATAAGTATACATAAAATATAGCAGTTTTTTAAGCTACTTATTTATGTATCTATTGTTTGGTCTGGTTTGTTTGATTATAGCAAAGCATTTGACGGTTATTTGCCTAAGGGTAAGGGTGCCTCGTGGAGAACTTTCTAAGCAAACTGACTCTTATGCACGTTACACGTGGGGAAAACCTCGAAAACGCCAATACAGCCATCCCCGTCGATCCGGATTCGAACCCCGGATCGACCTGCCAGAGTTCAACGACTTTACAGCTCAGCCGCTAGTGAGCCACACACACACACACATATACATTAAATAGTATTTACATGTCGTTTATAAAGTATAATTGAGTGCAATTTAATCATAAAGAGTAAAAAAATATTCTACGGAATTACTTCACTTCGTAGACTTTTTGTTAAGCTTCACCATATTTCTTAAAGAGAATCTCAATGCTAGTTCCATTTCCAAGCTGTTTATGTACCTTATTTTTCATGCTTTGAATTATATTTAGAAAATTATTTCACTTGGTTATAGCTGAAAATGCAGTTTTTTTATTGAAGAATTTAAGGGTAAGAAGAGAATTATGCCCTTTTCTAATTAATTATTCTTAAAGCATTTAAATTTTTTTAAAAAAGCGCACATTAATACGGATCACTGAACTAAAGTGGTCGACACAGGACAGATGAAAAAAAAAAAAATTACAAAATATTGCAGAAATTACATAAAATAGCGAATAAACTTATTCGGCACAAGCTCGCTAAATGTAAAACAGATTGTACAGTCAGAAAGCTCGCCTTGTCACAGAAATATACTGTTCATCGAGTTTAAAGGTTATTCAGACTAACGTGCGAAGTTCAGTGAGTAACTTGTATTTTCCTTTGAATGTATAAACTAGCCAAAAAAAGTTGGGGAGCACTTGACAAATTAGATGCAAATTTAACAGATGGGAGCACTTGACAATTAGATGTAAATTTAACAGATGTATTGAAGGAACCCTACCGCAACGTACCACTTTGTGTAAGCATTTTCGTGGATTTCCTTAAGGTATGTAATATGAGCCCATTTTCCTTAGAAAATTCTCCATGAAATCATGCCTAGCCAACCCTCATATGTTTTGCCATATTCAACAATAAGCAAAAAATCATTCTTAAGATGATTAATTAATTAATTGTATGTTAGATGATACGAAAGCTTTTCAAAAAACTAGGATGCTTTCCGTAAACAATTAGTATTAATAAGCGCTGTTCAACTGGAATTGGGTTAGATTATTTGTTTATAGCAGTGCTTTTCAGCCAACTTACATGTACCTGTATGTATTGCTCAGAGGGGGGTGGAAGGAAATTCCTGAACGAAAACAATATAATAATGAAATGTTAATAAACAACTAAATATAACTTTTCATATCGTATGTAATTTGTCTCAGTTTTGATACCATGTGCATCATTTATTTCTGATATACTGATACTGAATGAGACCTAAAAACACTTTTTTTTAAATATATCTCCCCTTATGATCCCTGACACAGCCGTTTACTTTCCCCTTCCGTAATTAACGTCAGTCTCCTGCTCTTGACCGCATTTGCCAAGCCACCAGTATATCTACTATACTGTTTATTACTTTTATATTTTCTAAGTTATCACATTTATTTTATCTTTGGGTATATATTCAAAATACACTTGTTATTCAGATTATAGAATACTATAAAGTTACCAGTAAATTTTCCAAATTATATTGTAGGATTCTAAGTTACAGGTAAAAGTGAAGAATCTAAAGAATTAGTAAGCGAATAATCGCTTGAGTTCGTGTGGCAGGAAAGAACAAGATGGAAGGGTAAAATAACCCTTTATTATTCCAATCAAGATTTTACAGAACTCCGTCTTGGAGTTGTACAATAAAGCCGACACTTGGGCTTCAACTTAAGAAACTAAGAATTAAACTAAACTAATCTTAAGAGATATAGTCGAAGCTATCAAAATCTAACAGAGTTGTCCCCTTAACGTTAATTGACCGCGAAGCTATCAAAGGCCTAAAGTAAGGCCGAGCGTAATAGTAGCTTACGATAGTAATAGTAGTCTAAAAAGGTGGACGCGTGCAGCCAGAATATCGGGTATCTCTCTCACTAAGACAATAGAACTTTGCGGTTAAATACCGCTCTTCCTCATTAGCATTCAGACGTGATTCTAAAACTACCTTCTGGCCGGAAGTGGTAAGTTCAAATTACGAATCGATAGGAAAGGAAGTTTAACTCAAAATTTAACCGTTAATAATTTAACATAATCCTTACAATATATTTTTCTGTCATAATGTCTTTCTGATACATCTTGAATCACTTAACTTTGAATAAGATCTGAAATTAAGTTTGTAAGCTATTTATTTAAGTTAACCAGTTATTTTATGCATACAGACGTAAAAAAATCCATTTTTTAATGTATTTTACAATCCGTTTTTGGAAAAAAAAGGCTTTTATTCTGTCCATACAAACAGACGTCGCGCAAAAAAATAGTCAAAACGGATTCGGAAATTGTCAAAATGGATATTTCCGTTGACCGAAATTTTTCGCGATTACAGTACTTCCTTTACTCCGTAAGAGAAATAATAATATACAACGATTAATTCATCGAATCTAATATGGTTTGGTTTTTCAAATATCTACTTTGTTGATCACTGCAAACAGATTTTTGTGAAGTGACCTTCAAAGAAACAATTCATACTGTTTTTAAACGAAATTTAGTGTACTAAAATACTAAATAGTGTTACAAATAGTACTAAAATAGTGTTACAAACATTATTAAACTAACATTTTTTTTTTGTATATTTTCTGGTATAAATATGAATTTTCAAAAAGAGAAAACTTCACATTTTGATAAAATGCTGGAAGCTATTTCACTTTTTCCCCCCTTAATTTACTCAAGATCTCAATTCAACCCTAATGTTTTCTGCAAAAAAAAAATTAATTAATTAACTAATTAATTATTCTTTGACAGTTTTATAATGAGGTTTAATCTAGTTTCTTATAAATGAAAGTCCTTTTTATATATTACTTATTAGCAGTTTTTTTTTTGTTCCTTTTTAAAAGCAAAATATGCCATGCGTAATTTTAAAGTCAAAATGTATTATGCCACATTTCATTAGAAAATTAGCGCATTTTTTAACTGATCTACGAATTGCTAATTCAATATCTGTCCAAGAGGATATATTAAATTATCTGAGGAAACTAATTAAATTTTTTAATTACTCTTTTCAGATCTTTTGATGCATCAGTATTGAATTTTTAGACACATGTTTAATGTTTAAGCGATTTTCCTTCGTGACTGAATACGACTTTTCTGTGAATGCACATTAAAATACATAGAGAATATAATGGATCATCAAAGTTCTTAAATTCACTAATTTTCCATTAACAGTGTTAAAATTTTATTATCGACATATTAAAGTTAATTTACTTAGTTATTTTAAACAGATGTATAAATGACATTTGTTCTCATCAATATATTCTGTATTTTCACAGTACCAGAGGGTCCTCCAACTGCTGTTGATGTAGAAGCTCTCAGTTCTGATGCTCTTCGCGTATCGTGGGAGGTAAATTTATCATTCATAATATGAAAAATATATAGTTAAACAAACATATCAGTTCATATATACATGTAAATATAAACTTTTAATAAATATATGTGTTAACATTAATAAATTAAATTTTTATTGCCTTATCACATTTCACTTAAAATACTTTCTAATTCATGAATTTTGTTATATTGTCAACAGCCGGTGAATTAGAATACTACTCTAGTTTCTAATCTGTAAATACTTCTTTAAACAATGATTCCATGTATCGTAAAATCATCCCTGGGATGTCCTGAAGATATTACTTACGGGATAAGCACACATCCTCAGGACAACCTTACGGAATCTCTCCCTAAACTTCAAAACATAACCTGCCGAGTGCTTCAAGAGGCGTCCCAGAAAATCCTCAAAACATCCTTACAATGTCCTGTTGACGAAGAATGGGATGTTATTAGGATTTAATGTCCTGCTTACTATATTCATGGGACATTTCGGAATATCCTCTTAGCCTCCTAAACATATCCTCCCGAGTACTTAGGATCACATCCCAGTTTATCCTCAAGACATCGTTGTTAAGTGCTAGAAAGTGAGTACGGGATATTATCAGGATCTGAAATACTATTTACTACATTCTTATTACCTGTCGGAATATCTTCTTAACTTCCTAAATATATCCTTCTGAGTGCTTAATATGATATCACAGTATATCCTTAGAACATCCTCTCTAGGTCCCACCGAAACTGATAGGATATTATGAAGATTTAAAGTCCAATCTTCCGGATTCTCAGAGTATCATAGAAAATCTTCTTAACCTCCTAAACACATTCTTCCAAGTGCATAATGTCACGTCTTAGTATATCCTTTAGACCAGCAGTCGCTAACCGGACCACTGGTGGTCCGTGAAAACGTTTTGATGATCGCAGAAAAATTAGCACATTATTTATATTTTTATGAAGATTCAGTTTAAATGACAAGTAACAAAAATCTATTATATAATATGGATTATACTTTTTTTCTTATTTTAGCCACTACTTTTAGAGAAATTCTTTCTGAATTTAGCGACTTTTTAATTACTTTGTCAGGTGTATCTAGCGGCATTTGAAAGTGAGAGTTGGCATCCATGGATATGCTGCTGTTATCAATAATAACGCGAACTGGAATTCTCCTTCCTCTTGAATTACAAAAATATGCTGTCATGGTCGTTGATAATGCGGTTTTTCTCCGTGTCAATAGGCATCTTGATGGATTTTTATGACAACTGTCTGCATTCTTGTTTATAATTGCATCAGTGGAAGTTTCTGTTTTTGTTTTGTCTAACTCTTGATCGATGGCGCCATTACTGAGTATGCAATGATTATTACGTTTACAATAATTCAAAATCGGCGGCTTAACCCCGTCAGTTTATTGATATCGCTTTGCGTTTGCCGGTTTGTTCTTGCTTTCCGTGAAGTTCCTTTTCAGTGATATGGAACTGTGAAGCTTTCTGTACAAGAAAGTAAGATTTTTGTAATTTTCATGTAATGTTTCAATGTCAACGAAATATGTGTAGTTTGCTGATTATTACTGTATAAATGTATTTACTTTTTTTTAATTCGGATTAGTGGTCCGCCAAATATAAAATTATATATGTAGTGGTCCGTGAAATTCTAAGTTTGACGACCGCTGCTCTAGACATCATCTCTAAGTCTTATTGTCTCTACGTCTCCATTAATTTCTCGGATCACATCCGGAATATCCTCTTAAACTCCACAATATATCTTCGGGGAGGTCTTTCTGAAAACTCTGGCTCATATTCCCGTTAAATATTGCAGAAACAAAGAAATCACCCATGCAACTAAGCCTATCCCAGGCCGAAAGACTAGTGTTAAGTGGCGTTACCCACACCGCTACTGTATGCAAGCAAGATTTTCAAAATCAGTAATAATAAAGGAGAATATTTTTCTTGCTGAATTAAAGTTCATATCATCAAGCTAATTTTGCAAGTGAAATAAATTGAGCAAAATTCTTTCATAAGTTATCGGTTCCAATTTGTGATGTATGAATTAATGTAATATTTCCTTTAACGGTATTTCTGCCATAAAATGTACTTTGGCTGATTTTTTAAAGAATTTATTAACATTTAATAACGAAAAATTTAATAATAATCTTTATTATGTGATCAGGTGTGAAACTTGCAAATATTTCTCTTCCGTATGTTTCCTGTGCTGGAAATAATTACATTATTTCCTTCTTTTGGAATCTCGAGTAAAAAGGAGATTAAAGAGTTTCGAACGAAATTACTGTCATTAAATAAATCACATAAACAGTTTAAAAATAAATGGTAGTTATACAAACCTTGGCAGTAACATGCAACTTTACTAGAAAGCTACATTGTTTCTAAATCAGAAATAATTACTTAGGCATCATAATGAGTGCGTAGTTTCCAAAAAAGAATTCTTTTGCTATGTATTTGAAACTGGAATTTATATTTAGAGTACTTTTTTGCTGAGTATTATAAAACTCTGCTGGGTGAATTAATGTGCTTCAGTCAAACTTTTAGTTTTTATATGTTTCATAAGTGTCGAAATATCGTGAATTTCCTGAGAATGAGAAAAGTACTACTAAAAGTTATGATTCTAAATTGTAAATATCGCAGAATTGAATGAATAGAAAACAAGTAGAATTAAAAATAAATAAACTTCATAACTGTATCTGTTAAGGGAAGGCTTTTAAAGTTTTTCAAATACAAAAATTTAAATACGACTATTAATTACGTTACAAAATCATAATAAATTTCAAAATAGTATAATATAATTAATTTTTTATTCGGAACATCATTTAAAATATTATTACTAGAATTATGCTTTCTATTACTATCGCCATTTCTAATTTACTTATTTTTTACAAACTAAAAGACCCCACTGCTCTGTCTTAATATAGCATTTCCACCTATTAGGCAAATCCCCATTAGCTAATTAGTGATTAACAGGTTACACACCGACGGTTAAGGGTGCCCAAACAGTTACTTACAAAAACCTCTGTTCCTTGTTTGCAAGGCCTTTTTTTAACCGCGCTAACATTCCATTTATATAAAGAATTTTAACTACACTTCATTATATTAAAAAAAATGGAAATAATTATATACGAAAAAAATAAAGTGGTAGCTTTCAGAGTTTATCTGAACTCTGAAGTTTATCAACACATTTAATATTTTCTATAGTAATACTCAAAAACACTATTTGTTTATCATATTCTATACTAATTTTTCAAAATTATTTCATTAACTTAAAAATTCTTATCAACAATTCAAAATTTTCAACTTGAATTCAAAACTATAATTATTTATCTTAGCATCCGTCTCTAAAGTAGTTTAAAAAATCTTAAAATTCGCAGGGCAATTTTATCAAAAACAATTATGAATAATTATATCTTTTGATCAATAATTTCATATTTTTGAAAAACAGCACAATCAGTTTGCAGAGAATTAGGCAAAATTTAAATGCAAAGTATTAGAGTCCGCAAGATATTTAACAATTTTGTCTCACTAAAAAATAATTCTGAGTTAAGTTCATAAAGCCACGGCGGAGGAAACGAAGACTTTGATGGACATCTTGGCTGAGATAAAACCCGGACAGGAAGAGATGAGAGCTGAACTGAAAGAGATGAAAGCTGAAATGAAAGCGGGACATGATGAGATAAAAGCTTGATATAAAGAGATGACAGCTGAGATCAAAGCCTGACTGGAAGAGAAGAAAGCACGACGATAAAAAATAAATGGCGGCCAAGAAAAGGTGCGAGAGCAACTCCAACAAGTGAAAGTGGAGCTTACAGAAGAACCTAGAAGCATAAAAGAAGATTTAAAAATGACAGTAGTGGCATCTGGAGAATCCAAGGATAAAGAAATGAAGGAAGTAGCTAACAAACTGACTGAGAAAGAACCAGAAATGATCGATGAAATATCTAACGGGATTAAAGAAAAAGAACGAAAACATGAAGAAATAAAAGACGAGAAGGAAGATTTTGATTCTCACGTACCTGAAGTAGAGATATAAGAAAGTGAAAATGCGACTGTCAAGTTCGTAGAAACTGATAGTGAAGTTATGAAAACGCAGTCAGCAAGTGTTGAACCATCTGAAAGTGCATGTGATGCAGAGATGGGACTAGCTGATGTACAGCTTAAAGCAGTGTGCTCCAGTATTGCAAGAAATTCACCCACTTCGCAAATTATGTGTGCGTTTCATACTGCAGATTTTGCAGATAAGGACTTGATTCTAACCTGGATACTTGTGTTTGTGAAGAATTGCGTTCCATTCGCGACTCTAATGCAAACATCGGAACTGGTTTTCATGAAGTAGAGGTAAATAAGCATGTACCAATTGCTACAAATACCGAGGTGAACTGTATGCATGCTGCGAATGAACTACAGAGTGATGAACAAACTGTTTCAGATCTTCCTGTGGATGAAAAGTCTGAAAAGACTGAATCTTTATACTGTGGTATGCAAAACAGAAATGCATCTGGATCTGGGTATAATTTAATGAAAAGACTGAGACTGAAATTCATTCTTAACTTTAATTTGTATAATTTAAAATTGTGCTGTGTTTAATTTATGTATGTAATTTGTATATAGTGTAAATCTCTGTTTCTTTAGTTACGTTATATATTTATACCTTATTATTGTTTCATTGCGTTTTGTTTGTATTGAATTAGGCTTCTGACCAAGGGTTGTACTGCCCAGGACGCGCAGTCCTTCGGAGGGGCGCCCACCAGCGGCCAAGCGGTAAAGTCGCTGAACACTGGTAGTTCGGTCCGAGGTTCGAATCCCGCGAACGGCTGGCTGCATGGGCGGTTTCGTGGTTTTCCCCATGTGTAACGTGTATACGAGCCAGTTTCCCTTAGAAAGTCCTCCACGAAGGCATCCCTCCTCTTAGGCAGATAGCCCTCGAGGCTTTGCCATAATCACACACACACACACACACACACCTTCGGAGGGGCAGTGTCACGAAATGTACAGGAGCTGTAAGATGGCTTCCCCGCGA